ATGTTTTGATCATTCTCACTATATACCCCCTCACGTTAATATTTGTTAAATTAAACTTAATATACCTCTTAAATTCATTGAAAGTTGTACATAAAATTAATTTTTAAAATATAATAAAAATTTACTATCATAATTAAATGTCATTGTTGATGATCTTTTGTTTTTCTACTTAACGTACTACTCAATCTTGGAATAACTATTAGTGAAAGTAGTTAAGGGGAAGACTCACGAGTAATATTCACGTGATACATAAAAATAATTATATTGTTTCTAAAATGTGATCAAAATTTTAGGCACTTCTTCATTATAAATATAAAAGTCTTATTTGTAACTCATCTGGTTGAATTAATCGCAATGACATTTCTTTCATGTGTAGCAAAGAAGAAACACCAAGATTTTTTTATCATTCCATGACCTAAAAGATAGGTTTAGTATCAATAAGGGACCTAAAATATCAATACGAGACCTAAAAGATAAAATGTGTTATGATTTTGATTATTCTAATCATTCCATGATCTGAATAATTCAAAGCTATCAATCTAAGACCTAAAATATCATAGATTTTAATTTATTTAAATTTGTTATTAACTCTGCTACTAATTTGTGATGATTTTATCTTCACAAATGTTTTTTCGAATGTAAAAAGTTTATTAGTTTTACAAGATTAAATAATATTTAATTTTTTAAAATAAAAATATTAAAAATTCATGATATTTTTATATCTTATTCGTGAGTATTTTCACTTAATTACTCTCAATAATATTTATTACATGATGGAGTAGCTAAGTAGAAAAATAATGATCAACAAAAATGACTTATAACTATGATAACAATTTGTGTTTTAAATTTAAAATTAACTTTATAGACATTTTTCATTGAATTTAAGAATTATATTAAATTTAAATCTAACAAATATTAACGTGAGGGGCAAAGAATGAGAATGATCCAAACTCAGGGGGTAACTAATTGATTTTTGAAAATGCAAGGTTGTATTAATAATTATGACCTAACCTGAGGGGGTAAATAGTAAATTTCCCAAAAAAAAATGGAATTGAAGAGTTACCAAGAAATAAAACGAGAAATGTTACCAAAATCATTGTATGCACCACCAATAAAATATTGAATGGGTTATCCTAAATTTTTATAAATTTTGTTTGCATGAAGAAGCTAATCAGAAAACTTAGTAAATGTGTAATACTCAAGATTAATTTAAATGGATTAATAGTACAACACATACCAACAAGGTGCGTCTCCTTTTAAGGGAGCTGATATTCTAAGAACTCAAAGTTAAGCATGTTTGCACGGGAGTTCTCTTGTGATGGGTGAACATGTGAAGACTCTCAGGGCACGCGTGAGTGAGCGTAAGTGCACGGTAAAAGGCTCATATGAACTGACACTCAGCAGGGGAGAATTCTGGGGATTGATTGAGATTTTCTTACAAGTGTAACGAGGACGTTGCGTTCATAAGTGAGGTGATTTGTAATACTCGATATTTATTTAAAAAGCTTAATAGTATCCTCATACCAACAAGGTGTCTCACCTTTTAAGTGAGCTCACATGCTAAGAACTCTAAGTTATGCGCGTTTTCATGGGAGTAATCTTGGGTCAAGGTGACCCACTGTGAAGTCTCTCAGAACGCGCATAAGTGAGAACAAATTGCACGATAAAAGGGACATGTTGGTTTGTGATGACAATACTATGTCTGGAAAGTATGTAGGAGTAACTACCGTGGATCCGGTGAGGTCGGGGTGTTACAAAATGTCTGTAAAGTTACGTCACAACAAAAAGTGTCCGTTGAAAAAATAGATTTTACTAACAAGAAATACCGGGCACAAACAAAAAATGTACGAGTACATACAATTGTGCATGTCGCGGGCAATTAATGTTAGTGTGTGGTTTAATGGAAACCAATGTGTGTGCACAGACAAAAAAATGTGTATACTTGTAATTTTTTGTTGCGCCTAACATTTTTGCGGTCGTAGACAAACCGGTACACAAATATTTTGTGTCTTTGGCGAAACGTTATAGAAATTTCTAATCGATATAAGAATCATTAATATTATATCGGTGCAATTCTGGTATGTTGAGTTAACCCTTAATTTTTTTAACCATTATTGTGTTTTATCGTTAACCGCTAACACAAAATAATAAATATTTCACCGTAAACAAGAAAATAATTATAAAGAAAGATTAGATTATATTATGCTCGTACCACATGTAGCAATGAGTGTAACGATTAGTGTTCTTACTCATTGAGTTGTGTAATACAGAGTATAATAATAGGGGGTTGCTAGGCGCACCCCCATAATTGCTTTATGTAACCTTGCTTAGACGATTTTATCCCTCCCTTTTATTTCTGTACTCCGTAAACAAAAGCTTTTATTGGAATCATATAATTAGTCCCTTTAAATTCCGTACAAACTCCATTATGCTGAATTTCTCGTAACTTAATTTGATGACTCAAATTTGATCCAATTTAAATTGAAGTATAAAAAACATTTTTTATAAAATGGATCGAACAATTACTTTTTATAAAATGTTATACTATTTTTATGGGATAATTTGAGTTTGCACCTCATTTTATTATCCAAATTAGACTTTGCACCCCATTTTTCAAATCATTAGTATTTGCACCCTAACCTCGTATGAAAAGTCAAAAATGCCCCTCGATCAGGATTATGTTGAAGGCCAACAAAATTGTTAATTGAGGGGCATTTTAGTCTTTTCATACGGGGTTGGGGTGCAAATACTAAAGATTTCAAAAACGGGGTGCAAAATCTAATTTCGACAATAAAATAGGATGCAAAGTCTAATTATCCCTATTTTTATTTGTTCTCCAATTTTGACAAAAATGTGTTGAATGAATAACTTTTCGTTATTTCTTCATATGACACCTATATTCTACTAGCATTTGAAAAAATATTCTTTTTTATTATCAATTATATACTATGTATATACATATATATTATCTCTATTTTTTAAATCTTTTTATCAAATCTTACCTTTTTATCCTTCTTATCTCTATTTTTCTTTTGTCTCTGAAATTACGTATTGATTCATGTTAGTTGGCCCTAAAAATTTTGGGGACTAAAGTTTGGAAGTTGATACTGTATTTTTTATTAGATGTTTATTTAATAGATTTTTCCTTAAATATTACTACTTCCGTCCCCGTGTTATTATCCCATTGCGGTTTACGATGCTTGACTAACGATAAAGCAAACAGATTCCTGTTCGCACTAGAATTATTTTTAGGAAAAAAATTGCATATTCAGAAACTACATTAAAAAGTTTATAAAGTCGTAAAAACCAGAATCAAATTTGATAAAAATTTGATAAATAAAGTAAGAGATTAAGAGTGATTTGTGTTGACCAATTGAATAGAAAATGGGACAATAACAGGGGGACGGAGGGAGTACTACGTATTAAAATGTGACTTAAGTCACTACCTATATAGTTACTACAATGGAAATCTCAACATCGTCATTATCACTAAAGTTACAATTGTAGTCACTAAAGTACCCCTCCGTTCTGTAATCATTGTCCCGTTAAGTTTTTCACATTTTTAAGAAGAAAATAGCAGGGGTAATAGGGTGTAGGGTAAATGAAAAAAGTAAGAAAAAGAGTATATTAAGAGGAGAAAAGTAATGAAAAAGCAAGAGAGACGAGTTTATAAAAAGTAAGGCTAATAAAAGTGAGGGTATATAAGTATTTTGATAGGAAAAACTTAATAAAAGAAAGAAAAAGAGACAAGTAATAAAAAACATCCAAAAAAGTAATACCAGACAGTTATTACAAAATGGAGGCAGTGTAAAAAGTCACGTTATTTTCCATTACCTTTATTTTACTATTCTTTAAGTCCAGCCTGGTATGATTTGGTTAAATCTAACTGGATCGAAATCAGTCAAATTAAAAACATTCTAAATATCATTCACATGCAATCATCGATATAAAATAGATGGCATTAATACGGAATCCGCATGGTGTTGATCGAGTTTTAAAAGATGGGGCGTCCACCTGTGAAAAATATCCATTACACTATACAAGTTTAAACATGATCACAAAGTTATTAATTTATAAGAAGAAACAATTCATATTATACTATGAATTTGTTATAAATCCATTTATTGGGAGAGATTAATTTATAATTATACTACCAATAAGAATGTTTTTAATTAGATTGAAATTTTCTCGTCTAATTTTTAATCCTTAAGTTTTTGAGTATATTTTAAAGATAGCTGTTTTTTAAAAATAAAGTTAAACAAAATTTAAGGAAATATAAAGACCTGGTTTTTTAATTCAAAAAGCAATTCAAGGAAAAACAATATAAAAATAAAAAAATAAAAAGCAATACGAGTGAGTTTGGTGAGCTGTGTTCGAATGGGTGAGGTCAAATATGAAAGAGGACAAATGTGTCCAACAATGGGAAAAATGGGGGTTCGCTTAGTAAATGTAGGAGTGCGTGGAGGAGGTCCGATAACAATTGGTCATAAAAAGACCGAGTTTGTTGAGCATTCTCAAAAGTTTGAATTTTCTTATTAATAAAAATAAATTTGGGTGCTTATACCTAATTTGTTCTTATATAACTCTGTGTTGCATTTGTTTCATTTATTTATTTAACTGTTTCTTATCATATTATAAAGAGAAAATTAATCACGGTAGGACTAAAACATACGTAGTAGCATTCTTCCCAAAGTATAATCATATGTTTGATTTTACTTTTTTTTGATCATATATGTTTGATTTTACTTAAATAGGACTAAACATCACATTTATATTCTATACCCCTAAATTAATTGATTAATATAATTAATTGTCCCTAGTTCCCTTGCATAATTAAAGTCGTCTTATTGGTGGTGGATCAGTCCGATTACAGCAGCGACAAACTCAGGTGACAGCCGTGACATTCAGGCAAATCGAGAACTAAAAAGTCTGTTTCGCAGCTTGCTTGAGCAGAAACGGTCAAACGGGCACAAAGAGCCTTTCAATCTCCCACTTTACAATATCAACAAGATCTGAGCTTTACTATTGCTTATTGACTGTATCAGCATTTGAGATTAAATTAATGCTGAAAATAATAGTTGTTCATGTGAAAATGCAGTATCCTGTACAAATGAAATTAAAATCTCAATATTATTACCCCTGATGATTATTTGGTTTGAGAACATACAAAGCCATGCGGCAATCCATTATGACATAATAATTTCCTGAATATTTGCCCAGGATGAATGTATCCTATGCCGCACAATCTCCTAAACTATTTAAAAACAAACAACATTCCTAGAGAATTGGTTGGAACAGAATGCAAGAAGCCTATCCAACCATGCATTTGTTGCTTCTTGGAGGATTATCTTTCACGGGACAGAGTGCGAGGCCGCAAGGAGAGCAGCGCCAATGCCCGACCCATCAGCTGAGTGTGTCAAGACAACGTATGGAGCCATTGCCTCTCCAACCAGCTCTTTCAGACTACTCTCTAAGGTTTCTCTGTATTTAGTATAGTGCTCATACAATCCACCATCCATAGCTATCACCGTCTTCGTTGACCCACCACCACTTTTGGGCGTATCTCTTCCCATCTTCTTCAAAATTCCCAGTAGCCCGGCGGCTGCAATCCGTGCCCCGCGTGTAGCAATAATGTTGCAGAGCTTAACCACTACTCTCCTTGCTCGCAAGGAGCTATTCGGTATCTAGATCATGATAAATTGACAATCATTCTCATGAAAATATCCCACTTTTCAGTCAACAACTAATAGGCCATTTTCACTTTTGGTGTAAGTTTTTAATTTGGTCCTTCTGATCACTTATCAGGAGAAAAAATTTTAATAGGCCATAATCAAGTTGGCTGCATGTAAGATAGAAAGGACCAAATGTTACAAAAAATCAATATCTTGTATGACTGTTATGTCATTTACGCTTTTCTTTTCCACTTCTGGTGCTGATTCTTTTACACTTTTGATCTTTCTTCAACCAGAAGTCGTATGGAAAGTGGCATGATGTTTGATGAAAGGAACCAAAAGTAGCAAAAACTCAATAACCATGTACCAAAACCAGGAAAACATTATAAGTGCGGCGAAATAGAGAATGGCCCAATAATTATGGAATCAACATTCAATTTTTTTTATGGCCTAATTTTTTCCCCAGATGATGTGTTTTCTAGTACAGGGCTTTTGTATCAAAATGAGGACCCTCATAAAAGCAATAAATAGGGGCCACTGGGCCGGTCAAGACACTCGATAAGTGCTCAATCAAAGCTTGCCCAGTGCCCACTAATATGGTGAAATTCAAACTCAAACCCTTGAGCAGTGGTTCATTAAGCAGTCCAGCCTAGGACAAGCTTGAATGTCATTGGCTCGCAAGCCATTATGTATACCCACCTGGTCTCTATTTTTTCTTCTTGGTTCGACTTTAGATAGATCATAATATAACAATTGAGTTAGTACTTTTGTTTGGTTGAATTTAGAATGAATTATCAAATTTTGCTATAGTATTAGAGTAAATCACGCTCACTGAGTAACTCAATTTGACTAAAACTGAAAAAGAGCTAAAAAATATTAGGATAGTAGGATTGATCGACGATTCTACTCCAACGAGATACCATGGTGTTGGGTATGTTAAAAATTTCAGCAAAAGTTAAACTTTGGGATCGGTTGAACGGTTGAACCAATTCATGCAACAAATAATTTATAAATCATGCAATGAGAGCAAAAAGAGTACCTCTAGAACTTCTTTTAATTTGTCACCAACCACTTTTAAATCAGGGGTTCCATCATGATGCATAGCTGACATGTCAGGTGTCCTGCATTTATACTTTAGGTATTCAACGTGGATTGGATGAACCTACCTAAAGAAGAAGCTTAAAGCAAACTTGTTTAGGTATTCAACGTAGTAATAGTTATCAATGCAATCAAATCTACTTCTCTTTCACCTTTCATATCAGATTATTATTATTACTCAAGTTTTATTTATTCATTTTCATGAAGCTTTTCAAGCAGCTTTACATAGCTCGGAATTACATATTTATATATCAGAATTAATTCTAGCATTCACATAACGTTTATAGTTTAAACGGATGGGGTACTAACTTCTTATAAAAACTAATGTTTATACATTTTACATCTTTTTTATTCTTCATCCATCCAAAATGGAAAAAAATGAATTTTGGACACCAATAATCTCAAGTTTGGAGAACTATACAAAAATGTTAACAGTTCACAACAACAAAACTCACACAGCGGAAAGTTAAAGCCATTAGGTTGAGTCTCATTTTAGTTAACCAGTTAACGAGTTGAAATTACTGGTATAAAAAATATCCAGTACGAATTGTTCATGTATAGTGCATAAAAGTAAAAACTATTGATGTTAGTTTTTCTGAGAGAAAAAGGAAGACGGGGCAAAAGACTGAGAGTGAAACTGATATTCTTACTCTTATCTGTAAACAAGCCAATGGTGCATGGACATTGAAGATCTAACTATCTAAGTAACTTCACAAGAAGGTTCTCTTACTACCTGAAAAGGTTGTTACTTTAAGTCTTGAAAATACCTTAATATAAATGGACTCTTAAGTTTTGGTGGGACCTCATCACCAAAAAAGGCAGCTTCTTCAGCTAACTTTAGAAGAATTCTGCGTAAAATTTCTCCCAAATACATGCCAGAGATGATCTTTTCAAATATCTGTGTAAAATTTGAAATATTCATTCATTATATAATATGAAGTATGAACTTATCAGGTGCAAAATTAGTTGGAGAAAAAGGACAGTTAAAAGCACCTGTTCACCGGGATTTAAACTTTCAGCATCCAAGTCATAATCATACTCTGTCAATGGAAGATGGGATGCCTTAAAGTTCCCCCACTCCATGTTGATAACCTGTGCAGTGTCATGAAGAGATTTGGCAATTATTTGCACAGATAATCATAAAAGACAAATAGCTCATTACAAACCAACCAGAACATAATGAATGAAATAAAAAACAAAAATATCAAGGGTCTCTTTGGAACCCATAAAAGACAATAGACGGGAACTTTGGAATGGAGGACAATTTGGGTGAAATTAATGTTCAAACTTCAAACTCAATAAATAGGTTTTCGAAAATATCTCTTGGAATTTGTATTATTATTTATATGAAGACCAAGAAATATGTCAACTCAGAGAAAGTTTGAGTCAAATTTTAATTTCTTTTTGTTTTTATTTTTTAAATGTAAAACCAAACATAATTTCTTCTTGTTTTTATTTTTATTTTTTAAATGTAAAAATTAAAAAAATATATTTTTTAAATGTAAAACCAAACATAATTTCTTCTTGTTTTAATTTTTTAAATGTAAAACCAAACACGTAAACGGAAAACAAAAAAAAACTAACCATCTCTCCGGATTTAGGAAGAGGGCCCTGCCACTTGGGAATTGCATGGGCCCGTTCTACATATGCTGCATTAGTTCCAGTACCCAATATGACAGCAATTGCAACATCTTTGTTTGTGTATCTGCCGCCAGCCAATGTTCCAATTGTATCATTCACCTTCCATCGACCGCAAAAGAGTCAAAACAATTGTTCTTGGGGAAAGTTCATTTGAATTGAAATTTCCTTGTAGTCTACTCTTGTTTAGTAAGCTAGTGTACTATGTGTATTTTATTATTATCTATGTCCGGTCTGGTCTGAACTGGAGTAGTCTCTTCTGTTAAAGTTTGTTCTTGTCTTGTCTAATATGTTTAAGTTTGATCCGGTCTGATGGAACTGAAATCAGTCCAAGTAAACAGTTCCTTAATGCCACAGAAAACTTACAAGGGCTGACACTCGCATTTGAACACCTTTTCTCTGTAGAGCCTTGGCCAATTCTTCTACTACATCTTTGCTAACCTGTACCATAAATTCAACCAATAAGATATGCTCTCTCTTCATATTCGTAAGCAGAACTCATTACACAAACAATACTTAACTACTTCAGTTCTAATTTGCAGAGGAAACTGCTTTATTTCTGTGAAGCGATCATGATTTCCAGTGCCAAAAATCCATAAAACTTTTACAAGAAAAATGTTTTCTCAGAAGGTTGACAGGTAAGTCATCTTAACAGTATTTGAACATTGATGTGATCTAGTACAATTTTAATAAAAGCTTTTTTTTGGATCAATGTAGTATTTTCTTCTCTGGTAGTTTAAGACAGCAAATGGTGACATTTAAATATCCCAGAACTAAGGCTCTATTTGATTGTATAAAAAGGTTGCTGCGGAAGCTGCTTTCTTTCTGTGGGATATGTTTTTAAGTGGCAAGCCCATGAAAATCCAGAAAACATTTTCTACAAGATGCACGCGTGGAATCTAACACAGCCTATGTAATTCCTTATAACCAGAAACTTCCATAGCATGCATACACTCATACCCTGAAATTCAATTTGTAGACAAGTAAGACAAACTACGAAAGAAATGACTAATCAACATACACATAAAGGATCAGATTGGTAAGAATAGAGCCAAGGAAACACAAACTGGTGGAGAATAGGTGGAGTACACACCATATCATCAATACAGAAGCCTTTGGTCCACCTGATAAGATTCCCAGAATTAATTGAACTCTGCATTACCGGGAACGAAAAGGTGAAACCTAGTTCTCTCTGCCTACCAGTAGGTTGCTTAAACTGTTGCTCTTCTTCAGCAACAAAGCTGGCAAGTTTTTCTGCAATGTAGTCAAACAGTGCCTGAAACCATGGTAAAATCAATTAGTATGTCAAAGGTTGCGTAGGTAGGTGTATATAATCCTGCCATAAGAAATATTAAGTTACGCCAAACTCATCCCAAAAAGATTCTCAAAACATGAGGTTTACTTTGTTTCTCAAAATTGAACCGTATCCGGGTGCCATGTTAAATTGCTTGGACTAAGTTACCCCAGATAAATACTCAAGAGATCAGTTTATATTAGTCATAAAAGCTGGTAGCATTTTATATAGATCAATTGAGAGAAAGCTTAAAAAAAGTACAACTCACTTCAGCAGAGCCAATCATCAGATCTGGAGGAATAGATGCCTCTGTAAATTCTTGATGTAGAATACCATCAACTTTCCCTCCCAATTGAACTCGCAAAACGCGAAAATTTGTTCCACCAAGATCCAGAGCATAAAAAACTCCATCTTCATCACTTTGGAGCACACAAAAAAGAGAGATTTTAAATAGATATACTTTTCTTAACCATGTGATACTCTTAGTATGCAAACTATTATTTAACTCTTAGATCAGAAGCTGCTTTTTAAAGTTGGGTGTTTGGGAGCATCATTGAACATCTGAAATCCATCCATCTGTTAATTTGCCACTTTCTTGAATCTGAAAAATATGTAGCTTATGGTCATTTCTCCACACCTAATTTTCTTTCACCTATTTTATTACTCTTCCACCTCATCAAAAGCTGATTCTTGGCTGCACTCGGATGAAAAATAATTATCTTTCAAAGCACTTCTCGCCAAAGTCAAACAAAAAACTGATTCTTTACGGCCATACAATTGATTATTGATTTTTTTAAAATTTTCCAGTAACCAGTAATTGCAAATAGGCTCTAAGTATGCTCAAAAGTTTAACATGCTTGATTGCAAGCATCTGAGCAAGAAAAGCAATAATAAGTTTTATGAGGCATTTACTTGAACTATTATATACATGTTTCAGAAACTAAAGCAAACAGTTTTACCACTGTGAACAAGACGTGCCTGCTAAATTTAGGAAGACCCGTAATATTATACGTAGTATGATGAATGAATAGTATCAGTCAGCACAAAACGATCCCGTTTTATATTTTTTTCGATTTTTTGGGTGGCAAATAATAATAATATAAAATATTAATTAGTAGTAATAATAATAGATTAATTTTGCCAAAATAATAATAATAGATCAATAATAACTGAATCTTCAAAAAGTCGCAGAATTCAATGGAAAAACAGATTAAGTCAGTCATCTCCAGCAAATTCAGCGTTACAGAAATGAAGATAAAAGAAAGGATCAGAGGGCGAGCGAGACAGAGAGCTGGAAGCTGACCCAGTGGGGAGATTGTCGACATAGCTGATGAGCATCTTGAGCTTGCTGCCACCCTCAGAGGCGAGCCCGGCGTGCATCTCCACTACCATGGCATCGGCCAACTGCTTAAGCTTAGCATCAGGGGTCCCACATCTCTTCTCAAATTCGTTTATGATGGGGTCAGACCGGGCCCACTTGCTCGATTTCCGCATACGCTGGTGGACGACCAGCGCGGCGACAGCGCACACCGCCGCTGCGCCAACAACCGCAGCCCCGACAGCAGCCTTCTTCATTTGATTTCCAAGATTTCAAGAAAAATTGGTGTGTAATTGAAATGGAGTGAGCTAGAAGCAGGAAAGCGATCGGATCAGGGGTGTTGAAATCGAGAAATGTGCAGAAATAGAAGGTCTGGGCTTATCAACGTTGTTGGAGAGTGTGTTTTTATATATATAAAAAATACAAATTGTAGAAAATAATTAAGGAAGGCAGACAAAACGCTCGATTGCGACGTCTGCCACCGGTCAATTGGTCCGAATGAATGGAGTTGATTCCTTTTTCTACTTGGTTTTGTTAAAAAAATTACTCCGATACTTCGTATTAGAATGAGAGGTGGCGTGGTAATTCTATTTTGTTTGGATTATCGAGTTTATTAGTCAATTTTTTTTATCAAACGTGCTTTTTAATATCATGCACTATATTGTGTAATAATAAGAAAAACAAATATTTAAGTTACTTTTCTGATTGTATTGATTGGAGTTACTGTAGAGGATTCTTTAGATGTTTTTTCATATAATTTTTTCTTTATCTTATTAATAATTTTTTTCATAAATCAACAGAATCAGTCAATTCAGCCACTTCAGCTAAAAATTTATAAATTTAAGCAGAATCAGTTAATATAACTGATTTGGATATTACCAAACGAGCTCTGAGAGTGGTGAATAAAAATAGGTGTAACGACTTAAAAAACTTCAGCAAATTTATCAATAATTTGTGTTTAAACACCAACTCATTATCTTTTATCTTTTATTTCTTACCACTATTTTATTTGTATTCATTTTTTTTTCTTATAACAATAGAGATTTGAAAGTAGCTTGAGTAATACTTCCTTCATCCTAAAAAGATTGGCCAAATGATTTTTTCTTGGTCAGTGGAGATCAAGTTTGACCACTAATATTTTTTAATAAAAAAATATTTAAAATATAAAAATTATATGAGCATATTCTTTATTAAAAAATCTTTCATAAAAGTATAAAATTTATAAATTACAAACATATATAATACTTGAAATTATATTGTTGTCTAAACTTTAACACCATTGACAAAAAAATAAAATCTGTCAATCTTTTTGAGATGGAAGGAATAGTACATTAAAGGAGATTTGATCCTGGTCTTCAGTTGGAATGTTGATCGGTGTAAATTTTTTTAGTGAGTAAAACGTAGTTGGTTGATACGTAGAATAACCAGACCACGAGTATCGTCTCTCAAGGAGTGGCAAAAAGGAAGTTTTAAATACTGTCTGTGATCACAGGCTAGCACAAGTCATGGTAATCTTTCCGAATAAATTGTTTTCAGGTGATTAAAAAAAGGTAAACTAACTAACAACTAGTGCAAAAAAAAAACAATAGAGTAAGTTTTTTTTACCTGATTCTAGATATTAAAACAGGGTTCAAATTGAATGGTTTGGGTTCTGGGTGTTCTTTCGAGATGAGAGTTAAGTAAATTAATTTTTGATTATTCCTGGAAAGAAAATGAAATAAATTCTCCTAGACAAGAATTAAATCAAATTATCACAATCTTAACTTATTTCTAAGATCAGATTGCTTGTATAAGATCCAAGCTAATTTAACGCAAATTCCATAGACAAGAATTGAATTAAATCCAAACATTCATATATGAGGCGATCAAATTCATATAGACAATTAAGAGTAATCTTATACAATTTTCCAGAAAATTCATTGAATTTCAAAAACTAAATTCACACTCTCAAGAGCCCATGAACCCTAGCCCCAATTCAAACCCTTTATGGAATTAGCTACTCATACTTAAAACTAACATCACAATAACATTGATAAACATGATAAGCAGCTAGAAATAAAAATTGAACTACGAGTATTAAATTGGGGAAAAAAACTGTAATTACTAATTGGAGACAAAGAGATTCGAAATCAATCCAAACTCAAGAATTGGTAATGTGAAATATATCCAAACTTACAATCATCACTTGGAATCTAAATTGAATTGAGAGAAATTAAAGAAAAGTGAAGTTGAGGAACCTCCTTAGTTCTTTCCTGCTGTTATGGCTAATTCCAAAAGAAGAAAAGAAATACTTGCTGCGGCTAAGTGCTAACGAACAGAAAGAATGGAGTCCCCTGTGGCTGCTTATTTTTGTGCTTCGTGAATGAATGTGCGTGGGGAAACCCCAACTCTTTTTTCCCCTTTTTGTTTTGGGCTGCTGCTATTTTTTTCTCTTTTGGGCTGAACTTAATTATTCTTAAAAAAACTTCAATCTGTTCAGCCGAACATAACGTGACATTCACCGTTAAATTCAGTCTGTACAATCACAACTCACCACATCCGGTAAAAATATGTAATTTTACAATCAAATTACTCCAAAAATGTCAAATTGTGTAGACAAATACTAAACTGAAAATGAATGGCACCGGGACCGAAAAATTACAAATTTTCATTCAAAACCCCCAATAGTCACCCGATTAATTATAAAAATTAGACAATTAACACCCAAAATATGGGTGAAAAGATAGGAACGGAACGAGCCTATCAAATCTCCCCACACTTGAGCGTTGCTTGCCCCCAAGAAACAGTGCATTAAAACCACGAAAACAAAATAATCACATGTAACACCTGGTTCAAAAATCATTCACACCCAAAATAAATGATTGCACAAGGTCTTTTCTTTCTTAACAACGAAACCAAGATTCACATGTTAAACAATATTATCAAAAGTAAAATTCCTCTCCAACCGACTAAAATGTAGAGAAAAGCATTATGGTCCCAACGGTGTAGGTGTGTGAAATCCAAACCACCAATCATTCCAAAACCCAAGAATTGTGTGATAAAACCGGTATGCTCGTGATTCAATTTTTTTTTTTTTTGAAAAGTTGGCTAGGTTGTGGATTACAGGGCCGATTCTAGCTATAGGGCCTGGGAGTTTATCTCATTACTATGCATACTCAACTCTCACACGGGGTGATTCACGAGATGAGCAGAGCCCCTTTCCGGAGATGAAATTCTCGACACACGAAGTGTAACCCCATAACAAGAATCAGTTGCCTGCTTAGCATGAATTTATCCCGATATGCTTAGAAAGCAGAGCTCCTTATGGAGTAAGGATTTTCAACACCTGACCAATCAAGCAATTATTGATGACAAACTAGTGAATCACGAGTAAAACCGAATTTAATCAACACAAATCAAACCATCTAACCTGCCAACATTCCCAAGAATATACACACCACCCTGATGATTACACCATTACTAATTCTTTCCAAGAAAGATGGAGGAGATGGAAGATTACAAAAGAAAATAAAGATTAACAAGTTACCTCTGTTGCGTTGCTAAACCGGAAAAGAACCTCATGCACCTCAAAATGTTTGAGCAGAATAACTTCATCACCAAATGTCATGTCCAAGCTAAAACCAAACCTCCCCACACTTAGGGGTGACATCGCCCTCGAGGTCAAAGAAAATATTAAAACAAAAATACCAGGGGCAAATTAACGAGTAAAATGATTTTTAGCCCGGCAACACATCATAATCAGAATAATAATCAGCACAAATCAACAAAGGAGTAATATGATAGTAAGCACACATTTTTAGCAGCGTAGTTAGAGTTGACAGATTACCGTATAAGCCAAACTGCAGTGAATAACCTCCGGCTTAACATAAAACTCAGCATCTGATAGCCCCTCGGTCTCTGGTGGTGAGATATTCGGTCTTAGAACCATGATCTGCAAGCTGAAATGACTCTCCTAGATGTGTAGATGCCGCTGAATCCTGCCACTGGAATGCTGCAATCATACTGAGGCTGGGCAGTTTGTCCAAAGTGTGGTGAACCAAGGCCTAATAAACAATGGTATACTGTCAACGGGCAGCTGATTCAGCCCTCAAAAATCAACCACCATCCAAAAATTGCCATCAAGGTCATGTCCCATCAAATTGCACTTGATGATTGTGCTTGTCGTCGCTTCTTCTTCTAAACTGCGGTGCTCCTGCGGACAGCGAAAGAGCTCACGAACTCCATGGTGCATGGCAGCTGGTTTCACTCATGGAGCATGTGTAAGTCTCCAATTATTGTCTCCAACTATTGGCCTTGAAAGTGTTTGCTGCCGGGTCTCCACGGACCTTCTGTAAAGTAAACGGGAGCTGGTAGCCAGTATCCCTTAAGAGCTCCATTTATATAGGGCTACACTTCTTCTTCCACACCATTCCATGTCATATCTACAATTCAAAGAAAAGAAATCCAACCGCACAAGCACAAGATGAAAACACAAAAACAAAGACAAAAAATGCATAAACAAGAGATACTAAACTCCTAATTTCTTTTTTTTTTTAGTTTTTTTCAGTTTTTTTTTTGGGTGGGTTGCCTCCCAGAAGCGCTTCTTTAACGTCACTAGCTTGACGATAAAATCTCATTCAAAGACGGGTTCGAGGCTTAAAACCTCCTTCAGCTTTTCAAACATTCCCCCAAAATAGTGCTTGAGTTGGTTGCCGTTGACCTTGACAACCCGGCCATCATTATGCTCAATCTCCACACTTCCATAGGGATAAACTCGACGTACAGTGTATGGTCCCGTCCATCGGGACTTCAGCTTCCCAGGAAAAAGTCTCAACCTTGAATTATACAACAACACCTTCTCCCCCTCTGCAAACTGGCGGTCCGCCTTAATGTGCTTGTCATGAGCTTGTTTTACTCTCTCTTTGTATAAGTATGAATTATGAAAGGCCTGAGCCCTCCACTCATCCAATTCATTCACCTGAAAGAACCGCTCCTTACCTGCACTAGCTGAATCAAGACAAACAGTCCTTAAAGCCCAAAGTGCCCTATGCTCTACCTCCACAGGTAAATGACAAGACTTCCCATAAACTAATCGAAAAGGAGTAGTACCAATCGGAGTCTTATAAGCTGTCCTAAAAGCCCATAGCGCGTCATCTAATTTTTCTGACCAATCCTTACGAGTTTGCGCTACAGCTTTTTCTAGGATAGCCTTAAGATCCCGATTTGCATTCTCTACTTGCCCCTGAGTTTGGGGGTGGTAGGCTACTCCTTGCCGATGTTGAACCCCATATTTAGACAAAACACGAGCTAGCGGATCATTACAAAAATGGGTTCCTCGATCACTAATCAAAACTTTGGGGACTCCAAACCTAGAAAACAATTTTTTTACAAAACGCACAACCACTCTAGCATCATTAGTAGGGCTCGCAATAGCCTCTACCCACTTCGACACATAATCAATAGCGACTAAAATAAATTTATTGCCTCTTGAACTAGGGAATGGGCCTACAAAATCAATCCCCCAGACATCAAAAACTTCACAAGGCAATAGATATGTCTGGGGCATCTCATCTCGTTTAGAAATATTTCCTACCCGTTGACACCTATCGCATGAGGCAACATAAGAATTCGCATCTTTGAACAACGTGGGCCAGTAATACCCACACTCTAACACTCTTCTTGCTGTCCTATTACCAGAAAAATGCCCCCCAGTGGGGCCAACATGACAATGGTAAAGAATCTCATTCATTTCATCCTCAGGAATGCACCTTCGTACTACCTGGTCAGCACAAATCCTGAACAAATAAGGATCATCCCAGAAATAATACTTAGCATCGGATAGAAACTTTTTTAACATGTGTCGAGATAGCCCGGTAGGCTCAACATCGCCTACTAAATAGTTGGCTATGTCTGCATACCAGTGTACCTCAGATCCAATCTCAACCTGCAAAAGACGTTCATCAGGAAAAAGTTCTTCAATAACATCATTACCGAAAGAGTCTACCAAGTCAGCATCTAATCGTGATAAGTGATCAGCTACTTGATTGGCGGAACCCCTCCGGTCCCTAATCTCTATGTTAAATTCCTGCAACAACAAAATCCAACGGAGAAGTCTAGGTTTAGAGTCGTGCTTCTGAAATAAATATCTCAACGCCGAATGATCGGTGTAGATAATTACTTCAGATAAAATAATATACGACCTAAACTTCTCCAAAGCATACACAATAGCTAGAAGCTCTTTCTCTGTAGTGGTATAATTCAATTGGGGTCCCGCTAAGGTTTTGCTAGCGTAATAGATGGGGCGGAAGTGATTATCTTTCCGTTGGCCAAGAATGGCCCCGACCACCTGATCGCTAGCATCGCACATTAGTTCAAAAGGGATTTCCCGATCCGGAGCAACTAAAACTGGAGCTTCCATCAACTTAAGTTTCAAACACTTAAAAGCAAGCAAACATTCATCATCAAACAAAAAATCAGCATCTTTCTCAAGCAAACGGGTGAGAGGTTTGGCTATTTTTGAGAAATCCCGAATAAAGCGACGGTAGAAGCCGGCATGCCCAAGAAAGCTACGGACAGCCTTTACGGTCGTTGGAGGCGGGAGTTTCTCAATGGCCTCGATTTTCGCCTTGTCAACCTCAATACCCTTAGATGACACCTTATGACCTAGCACAATACCCTCCTTGACCATGAAGTGACACTTTTCCCAACTCAAGGCCAAGTGGGTCTCCTCACACCTAATCAACACTTTCTCTAAATTATGGAGGCATTCATCAAATGACTCCCCAAAAATAGAGAAGTCATCCATAAAAACCTCCATAAAATCACCAATAAACTTCTCAAAGATAGCAATCATGCAATGCATAAATGTGGTAGGGGCATTGCATAGACCAAAATACATCCTACGAAATGCAAATGTCCCAAATGGGCAAGTAAAAGTGGTCTTTTCCTGGTCAACGGGATCAACGTGTATTTGAAAGTACCCGCTCATCCCGTCAAGGAAACAATAATAAGCATGCCCTGCCAAACTCTCAATCAACTGATCAATAAAAGGTAAGGGAAAATGATCCTTCCGAGTGGCTTCATTTAGTTTACGATAATCAACGACCATCCGCCACCCGGTCACCGTCCTACTAGGTAGGAGTTCCCCCTTCTCATTCTGAATCACCGTCATACCCCCCTTCTTGGGGACCACGTGAGTAGGGCTAACCCATTGGCTATCTGAAATTGGGTAAATTATACCCACATCCAAAAGCCTCAGGACTTCTGCCTTTACCACTTCCATCATCTTGGGGTTTAAACGTCGTTGCGGTTGCACGACTGGTTTATACCCCTCCTCACACTTGATTTTGTGGGTACAGAAGGTTGGGCTAATCCCACGAAGATCCTCAAGCTTACGCGCAATGACCTGCTTGTGACACCTAAGGACATCCATCAATTTTTCCTTCTGTCCCGACTCTAACTGGGCTGAAATAATGACAGGGTGTTGGCCCTGTGTGTCTAAAAATGCATACTCCAGGTGGCTAGGGAGCAGTTTGAGTTCAGGAGTAACCTTATCGGTGGGCTGCTCCTCAAACTCAGTAAGCAACGTAGGGAAATCATCATCCCTAATCACCTGCTCGCAATCAACAGTCATTTCTTCTTCATTTTCAGCCACCATATCCCCCACATAATGAATGTCACTAACAGGTGGGGTAATATCACTATCACCTCCAAATAAATACCCCTCCACTGACTCAAACATATCAAGATAATGGCATGATTCAGCGGGGTCTGAGGCCTTACTCATCACCTCTGAGAGTTTAAAAGTGCACACATCGTCCCCAACTCTCAGAGAAAGTGAACCAGCAGCAACATCGACAAGGGCCCTAGCAGTAGCCAGAAAGGGCCTCCCTAAAATAAGTGGAGTCTCACGATCTTCCTCCATGTCCATGACCACAAAATCAACAGGGAATATGAACTTGTCCACCCGTACTAATACATCCTCTAGAATTCCTTTCGGATATTTCACCGATCGGTCCGCTAGCTGAAGGCTCATACGAGTGGGCTTTAGTTCACCCAAGCCAAGTTTCATGACCACAGAGGAAGGCATCAGGTTGATGCTAGCTCCTAAATCAGCTAAAGCATTATTAAACATAAAATTTTCAATAGAACAAGGTACAGTAAAACTCCCTGGGTCTTTTAGCTTCGGAGGCATAGTCTTCAGAACAACTGCTGAACATTCCGCATTAAGATCCACCACTTCCGGCTCTTCGCACCTCCTCTTTTTCGTGAGGAGATCCTTCAGAAATTTTGCGTACCTCGGCATCTCCGTCAAAGCTTCTATGAATGGGACATTAATATGAAGCTGCTTCAGATGCTCCATAAATCTAATCAGGTTCGTGTTATCATTGCTTCTCTTCACCCGTGTTGGGAACGGGAGAGGTGGAGTCGTCTTACTCTTCTCTTTCTTCAGAGAATCTTCTTTCTGAGCTTCATTACTCTTGGAAGGAATAGGGACAGCCACTGGTTCTTCTTCAACCTCCTGGGATTTCGGGTCTTGATGTCGCTGGTCATCATTTTGTTGAGCCAATGGTGGAGTATTAACTTTTGTAAGGGTCTTCCCGCTGCGTAGTGTAACGGCCTGCACTTGCTCCCTTGGATTGGGTTCTGTTGAACTCGGAAGGCTGCCTGGTTCTCTAGGAGCAACTGAACCAAGCTGGCGGATAAGAGCTTCTAGGTTGCTGAAACGCTGGTGCATCTCCGCTTGATTTTTGGCTAATTCAGCCACTGTTTTCTCTAGCGCTGCATTTATCGGAGGTGGTTCAAGCTGTCTTTGGTGAGGCGGGACATAAGCGGGCTGATTCGGATTGCCTCTATTCTGAAAATTTGCTTGGTAATTGGGAGCATTCCGCTGCCCCTGATTCTGATTTTAAGGTCTCCACGAGCCTCCTCCTTGCTGAAAGTTTCCTCTCTGAACTTGATTGTAGAAAAAATGCCCACCAGATCTCTGGCCTTGACCGTATTCCATGAAATTCACATCACGGACCACTGGAGCTGCCTGATTCTGAACATAAAGAGGGCAGGTGTGAGTGAGGTGAGCTCCCATGCACATTTCGCAAGATAAAGCTAGTTCTTGGCCAGTTGGACTTGGATAACTTGCTCGAACGGGAAGTGGGGCAGAATACATAGGATAAGAGGGCTGATATGCCCCAATATTATGAACATGTTGTTGCTGAGAAGTATGTGCCTTCAAGTCTTTGACATCCACTGCCAGTCCCTCGATCTTCGCTGTGAGTGCAGTGATGGGATCTAAATTGAGCAGACCAGGTGGATTTTGAGCTCTCTCCTTGCCCGCGTACCAATATTTATCATTTGAAGCCAAATTCTCTATTATCTGCTCTTCTGCCTCTAGGGACAATTTTAGAAACATACCCCCCTTGAGATGCCCGGTCTAGTTCTCTCATATACTCCAGCCGAAGACCATTATAAAATCTGCACATAATGGTTGCTGAATTCATGAATGTTTCTGGACACTTCCTTCTCAGCGTCTTAAGCCTATCCCATGCTTCACTGAAAGTCTCGGTCAGAGCTTGAGCGAAGTTGAGAATTTCTGTCTGAACTTTGATAGCGGCAGAGGGAGGAAAATACTCCGCATAAATGCCTGATGAAGCTTCTCCCATGTATCAAAATGCCCGTTTGGAAAGCTACGGAGTCACCGCGATGCCTTGTCTCTCAACGAGAATGGAAATAAGGTCAACCTCACTGCCTCGCTGGATACCCCATTGTATTTGCATGTGGCACATGTCTGAATAAAGCTCTCAATATGCTCCATTGGATCTTCATGGGTGTATCCGCAGAATGGATTATTAGCAAGCATCTGCATCATGGCCGGCTTGATTTCAAAATTGTTGGCCTCAATGGTGGGTGCACCAATGCTATTTCTCGCCACATAGTTAGGCGTCAACTTCTCCAGAGTTGTCTCATCGGCCATTTTGTTTAAGTCTTCTAGCAATCGCCTTTTAGCTCTTCCTCGGAATAAGCATTCAGGATCCGAATAACCTGCAATTAAGTCTTGTTCCCCCAAGGAGCGAGTGTGCATGCACTGGTTCCTGCATCTTAGTTCACGTGCAAAGAACACCAAAAACAAAAACAAATAATAGAAAAGAAATAGAAAGTCTCACCGACTTGCTTTTACCTATTCCACAGAAAGTACTTAACAAACAACCGTGCCACTCCCCGGCAACGGCGCCATTTGATCGGTGTAAATTTTTTTAGTGAGTAAAACGTAGTTGGTTGATACGTAGAATAACCAGACCACGAGTATCGTCTCTCAAGGAGTGGCAAAAAGGAAGTTTTAAATACTGTCCGTGATCACAGACTAGCACAAGTCATGGTAATCTTTCCGAATAAATTGTTTTCAGGTGATTAAAAAAAAGTAAACTAACTAACAACGAGTGCAAAAAAAATAATAGAGTAAGTTTTTTTTTACCTGATTCTAGATATTAAAACATGGTTCAAATTGAATGGTTTGGGTTCTGGGTGTTCTTTCGAGATGAGAGTTAAGTAAATTAATTTTTGATTATTCCTGGAAAGAAAATGAAATAAATTCTCCTAGACAAGAATTAAATCAAATTATCACAATCTTAACTTATTTCTAAGATCAGATTGCTTGTATAAGATCCAAGCTAATTTAACGCAAATTCCATAGACAAGAATTGAATTAAATCCAAACATTCATATATGAGGCGATCAAATTCATATAGACAATTAAGAGTAATCTTATACAATTTTCCAGAAAATTCATTGAATTTCAAAAACTAAATTCACACTCTCAAGAGCCCATGAACCCTAGCCCCAATTCAAACCCTTTATGGAATTAGCTACTCATACTTAAAACTAACATCACAATAACATTGATAAACATGATAAGCAGCTAGAAATAAAAATTGAACTACGAGTATTAAATTGGGGAAAAAAACTGTAATTACTAATTGGAGACAAAGAGATTCGAAATCAATCCAAACTCAAGAATTGGTAATGTGAAATATATCCAAACTTACAATCATCACTTGGAATCTAAATTGAATTGAGAGAAATTAAAGAAAAGTGAAGTTGAGGAACCTCCTTAGTTCTTTCCTGCTGTTATGGCTAATTCCAAAAGAAGAAAAGAAATACTTGCTGCGGCTAAGTGCTAACGAACAGAAAGAATGGAGTCCCCCGTGGCTGCTTGTTTTTGTGCTTCTTGAATGAATGTGCCCGGGGAAACCCTAACTCTTTTTTCCCTTTTTGTTTTGGGCTGCTGCTATTTTTTTCTCTTTTGGGCTGAACTTAATTATTCTTAAAAAAACTTCAATCTGTTCAGCCGAACATAACGTGACATTCACCGCAAAATTCAGTCTGTACAATCACAACTCACCACATCCGGTAAAAATATGTAATTTTACGATCAAATTACTCCAAAAATGTCAAATTGTGTAGACAAATACTAAACTGAAAATGAATGGCACCGGGACCGAAAAATTACAAATTTTCATTCAAAACCCTCAATAGTCACCCGATTAATTATAAAAATTAGACAATTAACACCCAAAATATGGGTGAAAAGATAGGAACGGAACGAGCCTATCAAATGTCTAAGTCCACACTTGGATAGTGAATACTACAAAAATAAATATTGTAGCGGTAGCTTGCGCGATGCTTGATTGTTGGAATGTCTAAGTCCACACTTGGATAGTGAGACCCTGAGCTCCATGAGGTCATAGCTCAGGCACAATGAGCTCATTCAAGGAGATTTGATCCTGGTCTTCAGTTTGTCCGGTAACGGTTATTTCTCCATATCCGTTGACTCCCGTTGACTTATGCCCGTGTTCGAGGTCAGGTTTGGTACCGACCTTGGTGTGTTCGAGATCGGCCTCGGATTTGGCTTTATCTTGGCGATCTGGCGGCCCGATGTTGCGCCGATCTTGGGTGGGTCGAGGTCGGCCTCGACAGAATATTGACTTTAGCGTTTCTGGATATTTCCTTTGTACGCGAATGTTTTGGTACCCCTGGGTATATGGGAACATACTCCATCAATACGAATGACTATAAAAAAAATTTTGATAAGGAATAAAAGATAAAAAAGAATTTGATTAGTATGTATTCAAATATTTCTATTAAGTTGTAACGCCCGTGCTTTATATTTACTTCTTACGTGCTAAGCACTTTTATTATGATCATGCTTTAACTTATGTTTGAGTGATATATGTGTGAAGTATAGTGATAACATGATTATGATCTTTATGAAAATGATATTTGAACTCACATGCTTGTATTATGTTTGAACGTGACAGGCGACGGTATCCGATGAGCAACGAAACTACACGGTATTATGCTTTAACGTGTCATGTTCGATAGTATTTGAGTGTTTAAAATATAGTTTTAAAAGGTCATTGGGGGTCTAGGATGGGATCGACAACGATCAGGGTCGGTTTAGGGCGAAAAATGACGTTTTCGGCACCCGATTAGCCTCAAACCGGCGCCGGTTGGACCCGGACCGGCGCTGGTCCAAAACAGAAACTTTACGGTGCTGGAATGGCTGGGCAACCGGCGCCGGTCAGGGGCAAACCGGCGCCGGTTCGATCGGGTTTGGCAGTGTCGGTCAAAATCGTTTTAAGCGCAAAAAATCCCTTTTCAACCCAAAATCGATCCCAGCTCGTCCTTCTCTCTACAAATCAATCTCAAACCATTTCTAGGGTTATTCAAGCTCAAATTAAACATATTCTTCATCAAAGATCATCACTTGGTAAGAGTTTTACACTTTACATGAAGAATTCTTCTATATTTGATCCATAGTTCTTATTTTGGGATTTAACTAGGGTTGAGTGAACTTTTGGTTGATTCTAAGAAATTAATGGATTTTATGGATGATAGGAGTGTTGTAAAGTGGTTTTTTTATCCTTGGTTTAACAAGTTTTAAATCTATTCTTGAATAACTAGCTATCCCAAAACTATGTCAAATTGATAAAAGAATTTGGGGAATTTTCTTAGTATGTATAGTTCTTGGTTGAGGATTTTGCTAGGGTTGGTTGATTTAGAGTTGATGCTATGAAAATTAATGGATTTTCTTAATGATAAGGTTGTTATGGAGTTGTTCATCCTTGATTGAAAAACCTTGTGAAGTTTCAAGTATTTAGCTACCCCAAAATTATACCCAATTTAATGAAAGAATTTGGGAAGTGATTTAATAATTAGTGGCTGATTCTAAATAGATACATGGAGTCCTTGATATTATGAAAAGGATTTAATAGATTATGAGTCTTGATTCATGAAATTCAATCGGTTCTTAGTTATCTAGCCACCCTGAAGCTATGCCCGATTTGTTGTAGGAAAGGGGGGGGGGGGGGGGGGTTCTAACTTGTAGGGGCTGATTTGTGAACTTTCCCTCACCTTAAGTCTAAGGATTTTCTAAAGACATGAATTTAAGTTTGATCAAGTATAAGCTTGTGTATTTATAATTATAGTTGCTCATCGAAGAACCGTTGCTCGTGGACACCGTACATGCACACACAAGGGCAAATACTCCGTGTGAACCAGGTAAGTCATCACCACCTATACATGATAGTTTGAAATGAAACATGGAAGTCTAGTTGTCTATGAATGGGATAGATTTGCTTGAACACTTGAATTTGTATAGCATAAGATTATGTGAATGCCCTGTTATGTATATATGCTTGTAGGTGATGTTGATCGAGAACTTGTTGAGTTATCAGTGTAAGGTATCCAAGTTCTATATTTATGGTTAGGTTGGATTTATATGGAATCCAACAATGAATGAAAGTTGTGATGATAATGATATCTAATGAATGATAAGAAATGTTCTAATGTAGCCGTTCCCCCAAGTAATTACCTGAGCTGAACGGAGCGGGATCTCCTTCCGCGGGGAGTCCCGGGATTACTTCTGATGGCTGCGGGCTAGCTACCCAAGGTCATTAGCGAGGGGCCAGGACACGAGCTACGTGCCCATCAAGTCAAGTAGCAAGATAGGAAGAAAGAATGATGAATGAGGAAATCTTTTAGATTTCGTTACATGATGTTGTGTTTTACATGATATGAATATGTGTGTGAATATGCTATGTGTATGGAGTATTCAAGCTCATGTATCTAATCATGGCTAGCTAAGATTCCCTAAACGTTTTTAGTGGATAAAATGGTGACTTACTAAGCGTTATTGCTTATGAGACTTCTATTCTCATGTATAGGTAACGAACGAGGTACGGAAGCCTGAGAGAATGTATGGATCCGGTGACAAGGTTTTGGATGGGTTAACGGAGAAGATCGGGCTATCATTTATGTTGTGGTTTTAGTACGTTGGTACTTCAAAGGGTTGTTAAACGTTTTTAAAATCCTGATCAGGTGTAATGGTTTTACAAATGTTTTATTTTGGATGCATTTCGTTATCGTTGTAAGGTTTGATTTGTTCTAAAAGAAATAAAGTCTCATATCGAGGCTTTGTATCTTTATTTCCGCTTGATTTTTCAAGTCTCTTTTTATGTTGAGTATGGTAATGGCCATTTGGGGACGGTCGTTACAGTTTGGTATCAGAGCCTAGGTCCTTCTGTAACTCCATCCATTGCCACACACCGCTCGACATCTCTCAGGTAAGTTAGTAGTTAAAGGCATATAAGAGTAACTACTATTTCATATAAGTGAACTCAGTACAAATTTTGGGTATATATGTATGTGTCATGTGTATTCATTACATGATAAAGATGTTTCTTAATGTACTATAAAGCATATGGGTAAGCTGGACAACAGGCCAATTTTTAGCAAACGTGTCAAGGATTAATAGGGGTTACTGTGCTAGACAGGATGATAATGAGGTTAAGATGAGATCTAAGCCCTTGAGGTCAAGGCTATTGAAGTCAATTTGCTAAATCTCCATAGCGAAAAGCGCGTAATAACACTTATCTTAGCCAAATAAGTTGTTTATGAAAATTTTCGATCATTCTTATAGGTTGATGAGCTTAACAGATCATAATTAAATATTAAACACAGTCCAAGTGGAGAACAACCTTGGCTTACAATGAGAGTTTAGCATTTATGTAGATAATTGATTGTTATAGCCTAATGTGGTAAAATTTCCATGTCATGATATTAAAGGAGAAAATAACAAACCGCATGTAGTTGTTAAACTTATATGATAAAGTTCACGTATCATAATTTTAAAGAAAGAAATAATAGACCCATGGTAGTTGTTAAACTGGTCCTCACTTGTATGGTTAAGTCCCCATGGCGTAATATGAAAGAATGAAATAATAAACCCTATGGGGTTGCTTAACTGGTTTTAACCGAGCGGGTAAATTCAGAGCTAGTGGGTTAGTTCAAACCAATAGTATGGGTTTGAACCACATGGTGCGGAACTCTTCAAATTCCGTAGAGAGTCTCAGAGACTAAAGAAAATGGCAACCCTGCTGTGAAGGCGGGAAAATACCTTCGGAGCGTGTGTCCAATATTTTTAGCCACATGGTGACTAAAAATGTAGTGAATAACCTACTGCACGCGATATAGGGAATTACGAAGTGTGTTTGAATATAATATGATCTAGAATATGAATATTTCAATAGAATAAAGAAGATGGTACCATTGAGCTCTCTTATAGCCTTACGAACGAGTATGATTATTTGTAGAAAATATCCCAATAAGCTCGTATTGATAACTCATATTCTCCTTGAGTAATAGATGTATTAGTGAGAATAAAGAGGATAAAAGTTTTCCACTACAAATTATTCTTATGTTACAAGTCGTCAACAACTCAAAGGCTTCAATCTGAAAAGTTAAGTTGGGTAAGTTTTACTATGCGACTGTTGATTAAGTAAAATAGTATCAGTCGAGTTAAGAATATAAACCGGTAAGAAGGTTTCAGTTATGGTATTTGATTTTCTTTTGAAAGATATCGTGTAGATTCCATGACCAATTTATTATATCCAATCGAAATCTAAAGAGTATAATACAAAGGTTGTGTAAAACAAAAGAGGATTCGGGATTAGAATTTTATTGTGGAAAATTAATTTGTTTAGTCTAAGATAGTCTTAGATACGACCCCATATAGTTTATTACCAGATGATTTAGCGGGTTATCATTTGCCAGGTTCTATGGAATTATGTGTTAACGATTGATTTCCTTATTTCTGGAAGGCTATATAAACTTTACCACCATGAACAAACAATACTTCCTAAGTGATATAGTTAGAAGATTAAAGTTAGAAAGAACAATATTGTGGAATATCAACCAAGAAATAAT